GAGGCAAAGAGGCAGTCCTGAAACAAGCAAAACCAGGGAGCTGGACAGGGGACAGATTGTATTTGTCTTCAATGTGGAAGAGATTGTCACTCTCGAATTGGCCTTCTCAGCCACACAAGACACTGTTCCAAGACCTCCATACAGAGCACGTTACCATAGTCTCTCGAGACTGAAGGATGCCTACACATGAAGGTCTTATGCAGGAAAATGGGCAGAACAGTGTTATAGAGGCGATTCATACAAATTTTCAGGAATTATGAGTGAAAGAGAAGCATGATGGGCAGAAGTAGAGGGATGTTGGTGTCTGTGTCTGGGCCAATACTTAAAGCCTGTTGTACCGGGATAGATAGGGAAATCTGATGGAAATGGAGAGGTGTTTAGAGTGGAGTTAATACCCTTGTGAGTTAGGAAGGTGGTTGGACAGAAGAGGGTTAATGCTGCCAGAATGACTGCAAATGTCCCTGAAGGGCCAGTGGCAAAGGTCCTAATTAGCACATCTTTTGTTAAGGACGTTACAAAGAAATGGCCAAAGAAGGCTAGCAAGTTCTTGGAGAAGGAAGACCATCCGTTAGGTATGAGCAAAAAACATGAGCTTTTTTTTTTGTAGGGACAGGTAGTACTTCCCGAGACAATGAGACAGCAAAACCAGAAACAAAAGCATTATGGAACCTTTCAGAGGAGGCTTAGGGTGTTTTTGTGAAATGCCCCCTTCTTTACAAATACAGTAGGGAGCTTCAGCATAGGAGGAAAGGCACAGTGTGGCACAGCAGCAGAGGATCGGAACTGTATCCCAGCAGATCTGCTAAGAGGCACCCTTGTCACTTGTACCCCGTGTTTGAAGACATGGATTGTGATCCATGAAAGCTCACCCAGGAATAAACTTATGCCATAAAGATACCATAAGGCTTTCTCTTTTTTACTTGTTTTTGTTGTTGCTGAAGCATACTAATGAAAAGACCAAGATACTGTTGGGATTTTACAAGTGTGCATGAATTCCCATGTACTTGCTATGGCTGCTTGCAACTAATTAACAAGGTGATATGCCTGTGATGTGGAGCTCAACCGTGTATGTGAGTGGATGCGCAACTAGCATATGCCCAACACCTCATTAATTAACTGTAGCAATATAAGTGATTTCCCTTCCACAGATCTAACATCTTAACAAGACTTTGGCCAGTGTGTGTATTGGAAAGAGCAGCCTCTGGAAATTTCTCATTAGGGGACAGCAGTACCTCTCTGTGGCAATCAGCTGTGAGGAAATGGATTTGGCTGTGTGTTGTTATGGAAAACTGTATTTTTCCTCCTATAGTATCAACCTGCCTATTTGTAAATAAGATCACATATTGCAAAACAGCTTAAGCCTCCTCTGGTTTCCTTTCCTCCAATGTCAATGCTTCATCCTTGGATACACATAATAATACCTTCAGTGTCACCTGAGAAACCAATGTGGTTGAGAGGAAGGAAATGGCTCTCTGACAACCACCTTTCATTCTTGGGATCTGCCTGGATGGCCTAGTCAGACAGAGCACCTGGCTGAGGCTCAGTGAGGATCCCTCAGAAGTTGAGGGATCCCCATTGTGTCTTTGAGGAGAAATTCCAGCCTGTTTGATCTTAGGGAAATGACATGGTGACCCTGTCAAACAGCCCGCCCACCCCAACTTTAGGTAAATTTTCCTCACCACTGCAAAAGTGGCGAAAAAGCTGGAATGACCATTGTTGCCCAAACCAGTCCGCCTTCCCAAGCTGCAAATCTTTCCCAGATTCATAAAGTGGAATATTTCCCACAATCTTGAAGACATCAACATCTTGAGGGGAGGTGGAAATACTGTCAAAATTAAAATGATTCTAATAAATATTGACTCTACCACAAGGTACTTGGGCACACAGTAATTAATACACAATTTTCTAGGCTTCAGTCATGACAGCGTTTTAAAAAGCTGTTTGTTTGGAGGGGTTTTATTGACTGATTTACTTCATGGAATTATACCTTTTAGTCCCATTGGGAAACAATGTCATCCCAGAGACAAGGGTGGTCCACGGTCTGGGCAGAAGAACTCACCCTTCCAAATGTGAAGTGAAATCCTTCCTCTGGCTTGGCCTGGGCCAGTCGTTGTGTGGAAGCAATCGTGTTAAAAGAAATAATGTGGGTTTTTTTTCCTCCTCAGAGAGATTCTGGCTTCAGCCTTGTTAGAGGAGGAGTAGAGAAAGCCTCAGAGGTGGCTGTGAAAAGCAATTTTGGCTGACTCATAGTCAGGATGTGGGGGTTGGGGTTGTAATAGCCAAAGGGGAAGAACAGGATGCCTGTGTAGACGGACATTTCAGAAGTTGCAGCATTTTAAATACCCGTGTGACAAATTTGTTCCTATCAAAGTTACTGCCTTTACACAACTGTCCTTTCCCCTCTTCCTCCCCCACAAGTGGTGCCATAGGGCAGAGCATGCCATGGCAGAAGAGGCGGGGATGTTTCACCCTCTCCTCAGGCAGAGGAGGAGTGGCCACTCTGTGGCTAGTTTGCACCAGCACTGGCCACAGAGAGTAGCCCCAGTGACTTAAAACATCTAGGATAGGGATCTGCTAAGTATGTTTCCCACAGCCGCCACCACGCCCCTCATGTTCATCCTCAGCACTCTGGAGTTTTTATTTTACAATATATTTTAATGGGGCCTTGTCCTCTTTTAGGCCCTGGGGGGGTTTCAATAAGGAAATTACTTCTGATCACTTCTGGTCTTTTAACTAGAGTCCCACTCCATGTCTAAAACATCTTATGGGTGGGGATCCCTCACCCAGATTTCACCTCTTCCCCCGAAGGAAATGATGGAGTGATATTTGGATCACAAGAGAGCAAGGGGCAGCCCTCCAGATTCCAGAAAGAGCGTGAGGGTATCTGGGTATTTGGAAGCTGACCTCTCTCTTCCACATTCAGAGGAAAGTGTTTTCAGGCTGATGTTTCAGCATCACTTATCCTGGGCCAGGACAGGGGGAGAGACCACAATTCACAGAAAGGTGAGATAAAAGAAAATGAAGACAAAAGAAAATGAAGTTGAATTTCAGATGGTTTTTTGGCCATGGACTGAGGCTGTAGCCTCAGCCTGTGAAATTTGTTGAAAATAAATAATTTGGTTACACAGCTCCAGAAAAAACCCTGGGAGGGGTTGGCCCATCATCACCTCTCCTCAGGGCAGGTTGAAATTGAATCGGACAATGAAATGTTTACAAGAGACATGTTTCCTAAGGCCCCTTTAAGGATAAGGATTTTACAAAGGGACAAATTGACCACAAGCCCTTTGAGTCTCATTACTGTGGCTCTTCTGTTGTAACTAGTTTCAAGACTGAGGAAGGAGGCCTTCCAAAGGGGGTGGGGGTGGGAGGACTAGCATAACTATTTGCTTGGAATTTCTCATCTCTTACAGAAAAAAAGGTAAAAGTTGAAGGGATTGTTGCCAGTTGCAGACTTCCTCCACCCAGAGGATGGAAAAGAAAAAGGATGGAGACAACCACAAGGGGGGGGGTCACTGGACGGTGACTGGGCTGGAAGATCTTCGACTTCTCTTTAGACTACAGGACAAAGGGATTTAGTGAAATTAATAAAAATGATAGGGTTTCTTTTCCTTACATATCTGTGGAACACAGGCTTGCTCTTGATAT